GGTGGCTGCTACCGAGGCCTCCAGCCTTGCAATCCTGGGTGAGGAAGGCGAAGGGGGCAGGCTGGCCTCGCCGCTTGCATTTCCCCTATTCCCCCCCCTCCCAATATAGGTGCAGAAAAAGAGCCAGGCTTCAGAAAGGAAAGGATATTTTTAATAATTTTCTTTGTCTGAATATGATTTCCCATTGAGGAAAAGGGGAGTTTTAATTCCCCACCAGTAAAAAAAAACGTTTAGTCTTTGAAGGGCCATTGTGTGACATCTGCCTCTGTGTGTGTGTATGTGAGAGAGAGAGAGAGAGAGACATCAGTGCCTCACCAGCCATAAACCTCACCGCACGTCACTGGTCACCAGCATACTACTGCCCTGTGGTCTTTCAGCAACTATGCATTTCTAGTGGGTTTAGGCGTTACAATGTGATATCATTTAACATTTTTACTAGTTGGAAGCACTCCCAGAGCCAGTTACGTTGGAACCTTAATGCTATAGAACAGGGGTTCAAACTCAATTTCATTCCAGGATGCATCAGGGTTGTGTTTGACCATGGGGGCCGGGGTGACCATAGCCAGGGTGGGTGTGGTCAGCTTGACATCACTCGTATCGTGGGCGTCTGTGGTGGCCTGATGCCTTCTGCCAGGGAAAATGGAGCTTGAGGGGGCCATACGCAGCCGCCCGAGCTTCGTTTTTAGTTGACAGGGTTGCAGGAGGGCGTTGCGACTGAAGAGCCTGAGAGGGCCACATACAGCCCACCCAAACTCCGTTTTCGCTAGCAGAGGGACTGCAGGCTGGTCAATTGCTGTTTCTAGGGTGGTCCCATCGGCCAGATCTAAGTGCCTGGGCCTTGAGTTTGACACCCCTGCTACAGAATATATAAAGGTATATTCAGGAATGCAACAAGTACAAGCATTCCAGATGCCAAAAATGAAAAATTAGTTAATAACCAATCAATACAATTTATTAGATAATGTAAGCACACCTCTTCTTGTATCATTTCATATTTGGCAGCATCTGTATTTTTCACTATTTTCTCTTGTGTTTTTAAATACTGTAGCACTTTTCTTGACTTCTGCCCCCACCCCCCAAAAAAAGTTGTCTATCACTTTTATTGACTTTTGACTTCTTTTTTCATGTAGGTCCTTCCCCAGATCGGCAGCTGAGTCCAGGCCTTCAACGTTTGAATCTTGAAGAGGAAACCGAGAGAATAATTCAAATGCAGAGACTGGAAATCAAGTGCCTTCGAGATCAAATGCAGGGGCAAGAGAAAGCCCTTGCCATCCGGCCTTTGTCAAGTGGAAGACTCCCCATTCTGGAAATGGACAAAATTAGTGGCATACAATCACATTGACCTGGCTAGAAAGAACTCCATGCTGCAACTCTCTGCATTTCTAAACGTTCCCTAAATGTAGTTCTCTGCACTTGTAATCTTGTCCAAGTGTGATTGGAGGATGGCTTTTTCCTGTTCTTCCTCTTTTTTCTTTCTTTCTTTTTTTTAGCATGTCTAGTTTTTGGATTGAGACAGAATGTTAAAGAAACAGTAAACAAGCTAGTCTGGATTTGCCTGCCTCCTGTTAATATGTTTCAAGTCTCAGGACTGGAAAATCAAGTGAGCATACACAGAGCTTTAGGAAGGAAATTGGTCACCTGGCTTCAACTTAAAGCAGAATCCATTGGAGATAAAAACCCTTGTGTGTGGCATTATTGAAAATAGGCTAAGAGATGTAAACTTCCAATATGTTACTGTTTGTTACAGTTCAATTTGATTTCGCTCTCATACAACTCTTTCCCCTTCACCTCTCCTTTCTTGCCATTTTTGTTCTCCAACACAGTCCCTATTTTAAGGTTATACTTCCTTTAGCTTCTTCTATGTACGTAATAAATCCACTATTGACCTAGATACTAAGAAATACTTGAATAATAATATTGATGAGACCACTTTAAATAACAATTAAAGGCTCATGCTATTTCCTTTGTCTTCCTGTAAGTGTTAGGTTTTTATTGCTTGACTTTCTGTCATAGCTTACATGCTGATTTTTGATTTTGCACATTTGAAAAAATGCTTGGAGTATTATGGTCTATGGGTATCAGTGAAATGCTTCCACTGTAAAGCCAGTTTGGTTAATATGCTGGTCTAAAAACCAGAAGATTTAGTTCCAGTCCAGCTAAAGGACCTTATAAAGAAAGATCTTGGTCACAGTTCTTTATAACATCTTACAAATGACATCATTCATATTCAGCGTTCCTCTGTACATCTATCATCATTTCCTGCAATGAAAGAGGATGTAATTTATCATTGATAATTACTAGCTAATTATTCTCCTCTGATAGCTTATATTAAAATAGCTTAGTTTTGGCTTCATCAAATTGTGGTGTTGCCCTTAGGTGAGACATTCTCTCGGTACCACATGTCTTTACATGTGCATATACAACTTGTAAAGAGGAAATCTAAGATCCTCCTCAAATAGGAGATATTTATGGACTTGCTGCTTAATTGTAATGTGGACTTCATAAAATTTGTTGCAAAATGTACAATTCTGTTTGAGATTCCAAGGTAAAATAACAAATCTTTGTGCGCAAGGCATGTCAATGTCACAAAAGGAAATTTTCTCTACATGAACAGGTGGTAGTATTGTTTTGTATCCATGGTATATGGAACGTAACTCCCATTACTGAGCACACAATGTACACTTCATATTGTCAGTATTATCGTAATAACAGTTACATTTTAAACAGAAATCAATGTAAGCTAAATATCAATATATCCTGCTGAAACATATTGTAATTTAAACAAGAACATTCAAGAGAGAGGTAGCTAAAAAGGATTTAAAGCATAATCTTTGTGGTGAAAACAATACCACAAAATTACTGAGGGAATATGTTATTAAGCTGACAAGAAATTATGGCGGCCAACCTCAGCATTATTGCCAAGAAAACTTCATAATTATGTGCAGGAAGTCACTATCAGTTAAATTGGACTTTGAAACTTCAGTTATAGTATATTCATCAAACTAATAATTATATCAGCTAGAAAAGAGTTAGATTGCAGGAGGAACTTAACAAGATGCCAAAACTTCTATGTGCTTGTATCAAAGAATCCTACTGTCATTTGGAGGGAAATATGCTGCTGCAAATCACAAACAAGAAATCAAGATACGGAATCAGAAAACATCCAAGAGTTTGCCTTAGTTTAGAAATGCTATGAAAGAAACTACCGGTAGTGAAAATTTCCCAGACAAGTTAAACTTCAGTTTCAACACTTTCCCTGTCATTTGCCTATCAGAATATGCCATCAGAATAAAGAGATATGAGATCTACCAACTTTGTTGAATGCTCTTCAGAAGGTATTTCCCAACTTGAATCTAACCATGGGACCAATTTGCCTGATATTTTTTCCTACCATATCCCCATTATATTCTTTCCTATTGTCCTCAGTCTTTGTGTGAGGCAGGTGTAAGCTATCCCATTGCTAAAGTAATAGTTTCCTCTTAAAGTAATAGCAACCCACAATTGTCTCAAAGTGCTTAAAATATGATGTGCTTCACCAACCATTCTGTTGGCAAAGGAGTCAGAAATAATAGGGAGATGGGATCAATTTAGGGCTAGTAGCCAGCTCAGGCTGATCTGGGGACATGCCTGCCAGTTACTGGGCCCACTCTACCACCACCTTCTGGGTTTCCCCACTTCTTATGTCCATGAGAATTGGACACAGCTTTGGGCCATTGCCATATTCAGATTTGCAAAGGAACAAGTTTTGGAAAACAGACCAAAGCCCTCCTGCAGAGGGCATGAGTTATTTTTATTTGTTTATTTGTTAAAAGTCAGCATTTCCAGAAGCCCACTGAACAGATGCACTTGGCACCTTCCTTCTGTAGCATATATATCAAAACAGGAGAGACAGGGCAAGCCACTTGTTAGCTTGCCACCTGTCCCAGCCCCATCTTCTCATCACTGCCATGATTGGCTGCTGCTGGTTGGTGAAAAGTCAGAGGGCAGCAAAGCAGTAGTGAGATTCAATTTTTTTTTTACTACCATGACTTGGTGGGCATGGCTTTGTGGGTGTGGCAGGGGAAGGTTACTCCAAACTCCCAATTTCCTCACAAACAGCTGGGACTCAGGAGGCAGAGAATGGGGGGTGGGGGAGGACCAGTCAGAGGTGGTATTTACCGGTTCTCCGAACTACTCAAAATTTCTACTACCGGTTCTCCAGAACCTGCTGAATAACACCTCTGCAGCAAAGCCATAAATAAGGTTTTACCAATTACTTTTTAAAATCAACCTGCAGGCATAAAATTAGGGCACCACTATTTGACTTCCAGCTAAAACAGACAATCAGTGCAGAATACATACCGGCAATGGAGACAGAAAATGTTACACTGGTAGCTTTCTGCCAACTGGACAGATAGCATTTTAACAGACCCCCAAATCCAGCCCAATTAGCCAATGTTTCTGCTACAGTCTATATAGACTTTCTAATGACATTGCATGCTGTTCTAGTCTTTGTAAGGTTCATCGGTGATCTGTTCAATTAATATGTTCACTCCCCAAACAGATTTGATAGATTTTTTTTACTTCCTGTTAGGACTCAAGAGCCATTCCTACTCTAAAGAAACCTGCCAAAAGTTCCCAATTTCCAAAAAGAAACAAAAGATGATGCTAATCTGTACCATTTCCTTACTGCCCCGTGAGGTTCCTTGAAGAAGAAAAAAAACAATTGTTTTGCAAGAAGCCATCAAACTCTATCATCCTGTACTGTTTACCTCTACCTGTAATGTGCATCCTTCTTTTTTGGTTTCACCGGCCTTATTTCCTCTTCCCACGTGTGCACACACCGTCATCAGGCTGGAATGTTTCCAAGGACAACAGGTTGTCTGTCCAACTCCACCCTGCTAGAGAATGTACCTGCCTGGGCAAAGGTCAGTGACTGTTGTAAGCCTATCAGATGAAGCATCTGGTGTTAGACGGAGGAGGGAGGTGGAATTAGCACCTGTTACTTGATAGGCATACGCAGGCAGAGAGTGAAGAAAGCAAGTTTCAATGTTATCTTTGGACCATACTCTAAAAACTGACCCTTAAGCAACCACAATGGAAGAGGAATATGGCACAAGGATCCTAGGAAACCCAAGAACACGGCCCAGGAAAAGATTCTGGCAACAGCATCTTGGGTGATTAATCAGCTGTAGGTAAGTGAAGCCCATCCCAAGAAATATCTGTGTCTCCATGCCATGCTATCTTTTCTCTTTTTGGTCAAGAAACTGCCTTTCTTTTCAGAGGATTATTATACTGTACACTCAGACATATTCCTTCTTCAGCTATACTATAACCAACATACAGTATAGGCAGATTTATTTCCCTATGAATTGCCATGTATTTCTGTTTATCTTTTACTTTCATTTAAACTTCAGGAGATCACAAAGAAGGTGGTGGAATTGGCATACTTTTTAAGTCTTACAACCATCCTTTCTAGGTTTCCTTACTTAGTAGTTTCAATCACTAACAGTTGGAAATGGTGAGCAGGACAAGTCTTTTCCCATATGGGTTAATGCTGAATAGCTAAAGCCAAGCTAGGTGCTAACTTCTCCTAGCTACAGACACTCCTGCAAACATAGCAAACATTGTCTCAAACTAGTGAGCACCATCCATACACAGTCTTAGGCATTTAATTCTTTTGCACTATTTAAATGAAGTGGATGGAGCCAGGGATATGGATTTCATGATAAAACTGTACTCATAATTTAACATCCACAGGGTTCAATTGTTTGTTTTTCAAGAATTCAAGCTTCAATCACAGTAGCAGAAAGAGATTTAGGGGCGTTTGGGGTGCGGGAGAGATTTACCTTCCAGTGATTTAGTACTAGATTTAGTACTTTGGCTTTTCCAATCATTTGTCTTAGCTAGCAATCTGCCTTAAATAGGCCTGATCTCCCTGTAGTTTTAACAGTGATCTCATATTCTATGCCGGTTGGAGGGGAGGGTTTGAGCTGATGCTGTCAGGCTGTGTCTGGATCAGAAGCCTCCTCTTTTCTGCTCACTGCTTCTGCAAGGGACACCTCCAGTAGCCTCTGATTAAATTATTAAACAATTGCCTGGGATAAATGAGATCTCTTATTTGAGAAGCGGTGGGGGAGGATTAATTATAATTCTTTCATTCTTATGTGCTGTACTAAATATCCTCTAAAACCATTATCTGCTGTTAGATCTCCATACATAATTATTCTCAAACACATCTTTCTGATTTTAAAAAATGCATTAATTGTGGCCTTTGACTACCAGTGGTTTTATAAATGACCACCCCATTGCTTTGATGCCAATGCCCTATGTATTGCTAACATATGAAGTTACTTTTTCTATCTTACTTAATATCTTACTTAATTTGACAGCTAAGATCTGCTAAAATACAAAAAAAGGGCAATAATTTTAGTCCTGAGCCAAATCACTAACACGCTCTATCTGCAATTTTTGATTAAGAAGATATTAAACTAATCAGGGTTTATTTGAAATGCCAACTTTCTCTGACTTGGAGATATGTTGAGGGACAATTTTGATACAGAGAAACATAGAAGTTGTAGTAACTCAATATATCGCTTGAATACCAGGCTGGCAGAGGTTTATTTTCAAGGACAGGTGGGCAGTGTTATATCTTGTCTGTCCATTTCATCTGCAGACAAATACAAGGGAAGCAGGAAGAAAAAAAACCAAGAAAAACAGTATTGTAAATAGATTGCTTTTAAGCCTCAGTAAAGAATGTAAAGGGTTTTATGCCAGACAGTACATTTCAGGAGCTTCTCCTGAACATATTCAGATTCTGAACTTAGATTTCACACTGTACTGTAATTTTTTAAACAAAGAGACTTTCTGGTTTCAGAGCTCAGCAAAATAAGTAGGCCTCAAAATACGAAGGCCATCCAGGTGTAATAATTATCATATTTGTCTGTGAAAATAATTTCATTTTCTAGTCTGAGATACTTTTGATATTCTACAGAGGAAGACTGTAGAAAATTCTAAATTTAAATCCAGAAAATTTAAAGCCATTTAAGCCAGATAATCTAAATTCCCTATTAAATATTGAAAAATATTGAAAATATTTTAAAATGGATCAGTGAGGAATCACCATCTTGAGAATAGGGTACCAGAAATATTTTACTATTTTTCCTAAATACTGTTCAGATATTCAGCATCCACTTTCTACCTAGATTCCTGCCTAATTTCCAGAATATCTAAAGTGTGTGTGTGGGGGGGGGGGGGACCAGAAGAGCAAAGTAGTATGAAACAGTTAAATGCTGTTAGAAAAATTAAATCCTATTATTTGTACCTTAAACTGGGGATGAAGAAAAGAAGCTAATAATAAGTCCAGGTCTCAATCGCTCTTGGAGAAAAAGTGTGTATCAAGGGTTAAGACAGCTTAGATGCAAGCTTCTATTGTCTCACCACACAGAGAACCAGTTGGTGACAAGAGGCAGATGCTGATGAGGGACCATGTGAGACTGGAACAGTGAAAGAAGCTTTCTTATTGTGTGGGATCTCTGCTTCAATCATCAGCTTTTGCTAGTACAAGACGCAAATGCTACTAAAATGAAGACTTGTACCAAGAGCCTAAGAATTGGTGCATGACATGAATAGTCTTATGCCAAAGAAGAGCCAACCTGTTGAAGACATACCTAAGACTGCAACACCTATGAGTAGAATTCTTGAAAGGCAAGGAATCACTGACCCAGCATCCTGGAACTAAGATGTCATAACAAGAGCACACTGAAGGTAACAAGAAATTTAGACCAGTCCTTGAGGGCCTGCATGGAAGAAGCTTCTTTACTAGGCATGTGTGCAACATTTCTGGATTAGACCAATGTAAACTTTTTAATCAAATACTAAGGAGGTGTGTAATAGCCAAGGAAATTGATGTGACTAGTCAACAACTGTTTCCAGTCTAAGTATTTTTACAGTAGCTATGGATATTCCCTCCATTCCTCTAACTCTGTATTTAGTACGTGCTTTATAAGACAATTCATCTTGTTTTAAAATCACATTTCAGTTTTGTTGGATGACCACTAATTCTATTTTGATACAAAATGTTTCTGCTATTTATATTTATCAATCTATTCTCAACCGTTCTCAATCAAAATATGTCAGTTTCTACTGCATATTTTAATCCAGGTCATTCAATTTATATTGTATAGGTATTCCTTTTGATGTTGTCTTTATTCACATAATCATTATAACTCTAGATTCATCAGATTTACAAAACTACAGAATAAGGGTGAGCTATTGCTTCAACAGAAGCAATTCTGGTATTTTTTGCATTATATCTTTCCTAATCTGTTTTTGCCTTCCCCCCCCAAAATATTAAGATGCTCTCATGGGACGTATCTTTTTTCCTGCAATTAACAGAACTTTGTACCTAAACAGCACATTGCATGTCTTCCACTTGCTCTTCTGGGGTAATATTTCACAAATGTGTTAGTAGATAAAATTTAATCATGCTTATCTCATTTTATTGAAACAATTGTGAGGCCTTGATACTATGATTGTGTTTTAATCTGCTGTTTTGATTTTGTGATACTCAGAACTAATTTTATACTGTTTTAATGTGCAGTCTGAAATGTTTTAGGAATTGCACCAAGGTATTTTACATTGTAGAGGCAAAACATGTTGAAAAAAAGATGGAAAATACTGCCTTGCCAGTAGAACAACTAAAGATGTGCCTTGCAGTGGGCTGGAGAAAAGACAGAAGTGATGTCATGAGAGGGTGTCCTTTAATAATCATTAGAGAACCATCTTTGTACTGTAATTAGAGGGACATGAGGATGAGCCCTAGGATCAGAATAATTACTCTAATAATTTTATGAAAAATATATCTGTAAAAGAAAAGGCTATTGTATATTCTTAATATTTTTAACAAATGCAAAGCTAACCCCAACATGATGTAAACTGGATTTCAATATAGAACCTGTTTTTGCCTTTTCTCACTGGAAAACTCCCCCTCTTTCAACCTCTATCATTCTGATGTCATGAGACATGCTTGAAGCAAATATAATTTCTCTTTGCCTCCCATCAAGACAAAAGCTACTACAAAGAGCCAAGTTTGGCAGCCTGAGAATATCAAACCCACCTTTTCTTAAAGAAGAGATTATAAGTATTTTTAAGATGATTGTCGAATTTATAGAGGTGGGGGTGTTACTAAAATAGCATTAAAACCTGAGACTAGAAATCGGAGAAGCATTTTTTTGCATGCTTATATTTTGCTATAAATTATTGAAACTGTGTAAACGAGAAAATACATCCAAAAGTTTCATAGGGGCAAGTATCAGTTATAAGTTACTTATTATTAGATGTTCTTGCTTTTCCTGGCACAAACATTTTGCCACAAGGAAAACCTGTGATTCAACTTTCCCAGACATGGAAGAATATAACCTGGCCCATAAAAAAACTGATTTGACTTGCATGAACCCTACTTGACCCCATGGAGAGTGGTCCTCATCACTCTTTTCACTTTTCAGAGAGAAAGCTCTTTTCATATTTTATCACTGTTTCCTTTACAGATAACTGGCAGGATCTGGGCGTGCTCAGAAGGGAGCTGGAAAAACGCTGAAGCAGGTTTTAGCCTCAGCCTCAGCCAGAGGAGTCTTCCATTTCTGCTGTTAAACTCTCAACCATTTCCTCCCAAAAAGGAAAAAATAAATGTGATTTGGATAGGAACCAAATAAAGGTTCATTGCCTCTATCCCTGGGAAAATGTGACAAGCACCCACCCTCCTCCTTGCTGCTATCCTCCAGATCAGCTGAAAGCACAGTTCCTGTGGCCCATTGGTGCTGTGTATGAGCCGGTTCAGCATCCACCATGGCAGAAATGGAGCACCTGAATGAACCCAGGCTCCCAGCTCATGCCAGCCGCATCCAGAGGAACATCCTGGAAGAACATGTGGAGCTATGGTGGTTCCAGGAGCCCAAGAAGTCCCTTATTTGCTACGGAGTAGCAGTGGCCTTGATCCTGGCCTGTGGGGTGGGTGGTATTGCCCTACTGTACAGTACTAGCAGTCGCTCTGGAGAGTGGAGGCTGGCAGTGGGCACAACACTCTGTCTGCTGGCACTCTTGGTACTACTGAAGCAGCTGTTGAGCTCTGCCATCCAGGACATGAACTGCATTCGCAGACGGGAACAGGTGGAGTTGCTGAAGAGCGGTGGCTCCTCGGACTGCGCTGTGCTTCTGCTGACAGCCTTGGTGCTGCTGGTGTGTGGCACAGTGCTCACAGCCCTCTCTACCACCAGTGTCAGCACTAACCCCACAACCCCACGCCCCTTTGCCAGCATGTTTATCAGTGGCATTGTGCTCACAGCCGCTGGAGCAATTATTCTCTTCAGCCTGTTGTTCTATTTAACATGGACTTCCTGCCGCACAGCAACTCGTCAAAACCAGGGGGCTCAAAACAACAGTGCCATTTTCACTGTATCAGGACATATTTCGGCCAGTCAGCAATTTCCTCCTACCTCCAGTATGGCAAACTTAATTTAGCCATCAAGGACATAATAGGTGACTGCCATTGACTCTGAGATTACTCTGACTTTAAGGTTGGATTTGCTCTATATGTCGTCTGACCCAAACTCAGCAATGTGATGAACTTTTCACCACAGAGCATTTATTCTCAGTCAGTAATGAGGCCTAGCTTCTTGGTAAGACGTTTGCTTTGGAGCACCGGGAGATTCAAAAGAAGTGTAAATGAAGGAAAACAAATGGCCATCACTCTCAACTGGGACTGTGGTTATCCTAAGTAACTAAGGCAACTTGAAAACGCAGATAAGCAGCGCTCTCTCTCTCTCTCTCTCTCTCTCTCTCTCTCTCTCTCTCTCTCTCTCTCTCAGCGATTCCACTGAAAATCTATTTCAATCTAATGTTGTTTTCTGAGGCATTACTATACCACTTTTTTCCAGGTGATCACAAGAGGATAGCAATAAGTTATATTTGTATGTTTCTTTTTGCTATCTTCTAGCAATCCCAAATTTTGTAACCCAGAGATGGCAATTCTGCAACTTGCCATTATTATTTATTTACTATTTATTAAATTTATTGGACGTCTACCTTACCACAGACTAATGGTACTTGACAGAAAATAGAGGATAGGAATAATATTTTCCAGTCTTAAGATTTTGGTGTTCTCCAGTTTGTAAACAAGATAAAGTCACCCAGTCACTGGGAGTCAGGTGGCATGTAAATTTCATGAATGTTTATTAGTAGTATTATAAAAGAAAGTTTACAGGAGAAGCATTCTGTGTGAATCAATTCATACAATATATATGGAAAACAAAAGTGGTATAGATATGCTGGTGTATGAAGAAATAATATTTCGTTTAGCTTTATAATGGAAGTCCCTAGGTCTGATTATTTCAAGAAACATCTTGCTCCTGACAAAGAGCAAAATAGATGTACAGCATCTGCAGATGAGGAGTTTTGTAATAAACATCTGTCCTTTCCTGCAATGCCAGCTTTCTCAGCAGTAAAATAGCAAAGTCAGTAAAGTTTACTTACATTGTACTCTACAGGTAGTCCTCAACTTACAACAGTTCATTTAGTGACTGTTCAAAGTTATAACAGCACTGAAAACAGTGACATGGTCATTTTTTTACTTACAACCATTGCAGTATCCCCATGGTCAGGTAATCAAAATTCAGATGCTTAACAATCGGTTCATATTTATGATGGTTGCCATGTCCCAGGGTCATGTGATCAATGTGTGACCTCCTAACAAGCAAAGGCAATGGGGAAGCAGATGAAGGACATTACTAACTTAAAAACTGCAGTGCTTCACTTAACAACTTGCCAAGAAAGGTTGCAAAATGGGGAAAAAAGTCACTTAACAAATGTCTCACTTAATAATATAAATCACAACAATATAAATTTTGCACTCCATTATAGTCATAAATTGAGGACTACCTTATGAACTTTTGATTTGCATCATATGTGCAAAAGGAGATGAATGGAATGATATGCTGTTTAAGAAACGTGAGGATGCTTGCAGCAATAGGGGGTCCTTTTATCTCAACTAAAGTACAATATAGCTACATTTCTATGATTTTAGCACTTTCTACAATACTGGATCTGGAAGAAAAAAATATGTTGTTTTATTGTTTTATGTAGCTTCTAAGCCCTTTTGAAATGTAATTTGGTTCATATATGTATCTTGAAAATCAAAATTAAATAAGATAATGTAACAGCTTGTTGCTTCACCAGGCACCCATCTACCTATGGATAGCTTACATCCAATTACCATATTACTAAAACTTAGTTCTCACATACAAGCTTATTCACTCATCCTCAGATGTTATAGCAATTTCCACTGGAATTTAAATGAAAAAACATGTGGAGGAATCTGCTGCTATTCCCACCATTTCTGTGGCTTCTACTTTACAAAGTATCATTCTACAACCATAACCCAGGATCTATTCACCCGGCTTCAAGAAACATGGCTATAGTTGTGAGCTATTAAACTGTGAAACAACCATTCCAATTTCAAAAGTTCACTGGAGTTGAATAGCCAATTAATTTCCTTATATTTATGGCATCAAAATTATCCTTACTTTGCATCTTAACAAAACATGTGAAAAACCCGAGAATATGCATTTTTTCTTGCTAGAAACATTAAAAGTTCAAAAAGTTCATTAATGCTTTCTACAATTGCTTGGGTGTTAGCTCCACTGAATTTAGTGGGAAGAATATAAAATTAAAAGCACTCTGATGCATGTTATGTCAACTAATTTCCCTTTTTACCTTTCCAACAGAGTAGCTCTAAGCGAGGTTTTCTATGTCTGCTAGACATTTGGGACTTTTTAGGATTTTAATGTAAACTCTTTCCAGTTTCTTTAAATTCATAATTTTAATTTCAGACAATATTGAAGCCTAATTCTAGAATAAAAAGATTTATATAATTGAGAGGAGGAAGCATATCTCCATCCTTTAGCCAGCATGTTCATCTTACTGTCATATTAATATGGTCTCTCTCTCTCCCTCTCCAGCTGGAAAACTAGTAAACATCCTAAAAGCCTAATTTCTTTCTGGTTTCAGATCCAAAGAACGTGGGATGCACATGTTGTAGAGGAGCTAAGTTTAACCATAGTCGCCATAAGCTAGACTTGCAAAAACCTACAAGTTAAATTACAGGTATCTTTGACTAATATGATCACAGGCAGCAAGTGCTGAGAAATATCTCTGCCATACCTGATGGAAGGAAATTTAGAGGATGCAATGGATCTGAAATTAGTAAACAGGACTTTGCAAAGCAACTGAAAGGGCACTTGGCAAAGCATGCTAGGGCAAACAAAGCATCTCTCCCTTAAGCATTAAAGTGGCCATATCCTCTAAAAGTCTGCTTTTGATTGTCTGCAGGTGCAAGTACATACACGGACAACAGATGCAGAATACAGGAAGGCCATGAGTTAGAATATTATATGCAACGATCTATCCCAGTTTTCCCCAGCCAGGTGCCTTCCGGGTGAGTGACGTGCTGGAGGAAAGTGCCTGGGAAAAGATGTTTCAGACCCACTTTTTCTCCCTCCACTCTAAGGTGGTTATCCAGAAGTTTTGCAACCTGCATCTGTTCTGTATTTGTCTGACTGCCAGAAGTTCTTGCAAGCGGCGGCCGGCCACGAAGTCACAAAACCACCCCGTCCACATATTTCTCAGTCGTTTCTTAAAAAGATCCCAATAAAACTTCCGTGGGATGACGTCATCGGCGTCAAGTTTTCTACAGTCCTTCCGTTTGCGCTCTTAGACGTAGAAAGAAAAGAAAAGAGTCGCTCTCAGCGGGCTTGAAATTGCTGTCACAGGGATCCTTGAAGTGTCAGCTGCCTTTTGGCTCGGGGAACAATGTAGTCTTGTTTTAATTAATAGGTTTTTTTTTAAATGTATTACATGTATTACTGAAAATAAGGCAGTCTTGTGCACAACATAATATGTCTTCATTTGCAAAACACTTTTGCTTTTCGAATTATTGATTTACCGAGTTCACAAACCTTCACACTAAATTTTGTTTGTTTGGTAATTACATCTGCTGAAATTTCACACTGAAAATATTTTTTTCAAATTCGGTAACCTTAAGGTTTGTAGACTTCCACTCTCAGATTTCTGAGAATTTAGATACATTGAAATATTGCCGGGATTGAAAAACTCTTGCTCTAAACCAAGTGGCAAATGATCTTTTTTTTTTTACTATGGTTGAGAAGTCGCAATGTCACCAGAAGAGATACTGTTTTCTTTTCTCCCACGTTTGCTGTTGCATTTTGGTGTTTTAAAATTGTTTTTAATTAAATGGACACTAATGGTGCTTTCTATGCTGCCAAAAAGGTTGGTCCTTTTAAAATTAAGAGCATAGCTTGAAAGAGGCGTGAATAAAGTTGTGGCGAATGTCACACTAATGTCTTTCATGACAGCATTTGATAAATGTTTGAAATCTCCAAGAAGTTGGAGTGCCAGAGGATATGCAAAATGGCTTCTGCTTCAGAAGCTGCTATCTCTGTAGAAATAGGTAACACAAGACAAGCCAGGAAATGCATTTGATTTACTGCCTATTTTGTCTGTTGTGCTGTTAGGTGGCACGGTTTCCTATTTCTCAGTACTGGCCAGGGTACTGTGTACAATTCCTGTGTACAATTCCACACAGAGTGGATATGAAGACATATTTTTAGAACAATATTGTACATTAATCACTGATCATTTGAATCCAATCTCTTCCAGAGCTTTTTTCAAATTTTGAAGAGACTAGAACATCATGTGGTTTAACCAGGCCATGATATTTTCTTGTTGATTTGTTAATTAATTTACTGGGAGCTATATTCTGTTTATTGACAGCTCTGTAATTCTTTCAGTGTTAAATTTGATATATTATGAATATATGAACAGGGCTTTTACATCATTTTCCGGTAAATTCTATCTCTCGTGAGATTGGTCTGTCTCCCAAGAAATAGAAGGAAGAGGTGGGTCCTCTAGCTACAGATCTGTATGTGGTATTGTTGCAGAAAATCAGGAGACCCGGACTGCAAGATCAAGAGAAGCTTTATTTTGGCCAAAAGGCTCAGACAGTGTAAACCCACATCTGACGTCTGAGCGAGGTTCTTAGGGAGAAGCATGTTCTTCCTCAAAACAGTTAACACGGAAATATGCTAAATCATTTCTATGGGCTAGGCTCCTTATTGCTAGGCAGAGAAGCATGAAGGAAGCACTAGTTTCATTCTGACTTATGTGGTTGAGCTCTATGTCTGACTCGCAAGTGAGACCTCCAACTGACTTAAAGATTAGAAAATGTATAACGAGATAGAAGGGATAGACGAGGCCCCCAGGAGATCTTCTAGTTTGACCCCGTATCATGTTCACTCTTATACCCAAATATCGCTTTATGTCTTGCCCAGGGATGTGCAGTCAAGGGAGGCAGGACCTCACCACTATCATGATGAAAAGAAAAGAAAATTAAAAGGAAAAAGGCAGAGGTAGTTGCTGCCAGAGTTACAGTGGATGACTCTGCTTAGAGCTAACTGCAGGGGGAGGCGAGAGAACTACGTGCCTCCTTTGCATAAGGAATTTTTTGCCTTTTAACCCTTGCTTAACTCTGAGCAAGGGTTAAAAGGCA